TTGTCGAGATTTGGACTAGTTCTGATATTCCGCTCACTCTTAGAGCCCTAGACTTAATGATCTCAGCATGAATCACATACAGGAAGAAATAATTCATATAAATACATATCTACATTGAATCAGATTCTGCGTGTGATAGCCTCTTGAATCAGCCTGACCCGCACTGTAAGATCATGGGTCCTGGTAGAGCAGCATTTGCTGGCGTGGGCTCTGCATCATGGGTGTGCTCCAACAAGGCTTCAGGATGTCTTGGAATATGGAAAAGGCTGTCGCGTGTTCTGAAACAGGCCTGATGCACCCTCAGAAGCTGTTTGTTGAGGGATGGTGCTTTGTAGAAGTCACGAAACTCAGACTGACATGTGAATTTGCACTTCAGAAGCAATTGTCAGCATCTGAGGAAAGAGCTGTGCTTTGTGTGAGGTTCAAGTTCACCTTCCCGTGCTTTGCGGGAGCTTAGAGAGTTCTCAAGTGAGCGCTGCAAGTACGTCTTGTACAAGTGGAAGCGCAGGGACTGGAGTATCAACGATTGCGGTCTGGAGAGTTTCCCAAGCGGTGCATTGTCCCACAGGTACCATAGTCAAATGGGGACACGTGACCTGATGAGTCATTCTGGTCTGTTCTTTTGTTTTACTATCACTTTTAAATCTTCTTGTCCTTGCAAACTGTTCTGGTATCTGGATGATTTATGAGTGACACATGAACTTCCTAATACTGATGGTTGAGGAGAACAGATCATTATACTGGTTTAATTTGCTCCAAGAGAGCTGATACAGAAGAGGATGGCTTAAGGGTGGGAATAAGCTGCCAGGGCAGAGGAAGGTGAGGTGGCAGTGATGTCTTATGTCAGTTTAGAGTGCTTGTAGAGCAGTAACACAAGCTCCACATGGGGAAAGCTGGAATAATTTTTTTAATGAAGGGGGAAAAATGGAAGGAAGTGCTTTTCTTTCAAGGCATGTTTATTATTAATGTTTACAGAAAACAAAAAGCATTATTTGGGGTTTGTGAGTAAGACTATAGATTGTGAAGTCCGTAGTAAATCACTTGAATCTTTGTCTCATTTATCAACTGCTAAAAAGCAATTTCAGCTTAGGGTACAGTCTGTATTTGTAAAGTGCCTTCAGGTACTCTGGTACATAACTGTATGTAAATGCAGAACGAGTGTGGGAGAATGCCAAATGCTTATCTATTGCTTCTTAATTTCCATTTCTAGATCATCATGGTAAGGCTGCAGAGAGTGACATTCCTTGCTTTGCACAACTACCTTGGTCTGACTACTGAGCTCTTCAATTGTGTAAGTTTGTGGTGCATTTTATCTGCTGTTCCTATGCAGCCTGTCTGTGACTTGGCATAGAGAGGTTTTCTTTCTTTCAGAAGATCGTAAAGCAAATTCTACTATTGATTTAATAATGACAGTACTTGAGAAATAATGTACTTGTTATAACCAGCCCATAAAATCCGGCCTACGCTGATGCCTGGGGAATGGGAGAGAAGCTTAAATTTCAAAAGTTTGAAGAAGTGCATCGCTTCAAACTGGTGGATGTGCACCACTGTGCATGTACATCACTGTGTTTGAGCAATCATAGAGTCACAGACTGGTTTGGGTTGGAAGGAACCTTAAAGACCATCTAGTTCCACCCCCCTGCCCTGGGCAGGGACACCTCCCACCAGACCAGGTTGCTCCCAGCCCCATCCAGCCTGGCCTTGAGCCCTGCCAGGGAGGGGGCAGCCACAGCTTCTCTGGGCAGCCTCTGCCAGGGTCTCACCACCCTCACAGGGCAGAGCTTCTTCCTTACATCTAATCTAAATCTGCCCTTTTTCAGCTTAAAGCTGTTACCCCTCATCCTGTCACTCCCCTCTCTGATCAAGAGTCCCTCCCCACCTTCCCTGCAGCCCCTTTCAGCACTGAAGGCCGCTCTAAGGTCTCCCCGGAGCCTTCTCTTCTCCAGGCTGAACAACCCCAACTCTCTCAGTCTGTCCTCATGGGAAAGATGTTCCATCCCTCTGGTCACCTTCATGGCCTCCTCTGGACCCCCTCAAGCAGGTCCATGTCCTTCTTGTGCTGGGGTTCCCAGAGCTGGATGCAGGACTGCAGGTGGAGTCTGACCAGAGCCGGGCAGAGGGATGATTCACCTCCCTTGCCCTGCTGGCCATGCTGCTTTTGATCCTTCTGAAATCAGAGGAAACTACGGGGTACCTCCAGCAGAGCCTGAATTCTGAGCTACCATTTCCTTTGTTACTAAGGCTAAAGCAGTTGTGTCCTGTTAAGGCAGAAATTAGAAAATCGGGAAGACAGGATTAGCTTAAACCTCAACGACACTGAGTCACTTCTACCTGTAACAGTTCAAAGGCTGATGTCCCCTTGGTGGAAGACGATCAGGTCTGGGAATACTTAAGTAAACTGGACGTAGTTAAGTCCATGGGCTGTGATGGGATGCGCCTAGGAGTGCTGAGGGAGCTGTCAGATATTGCAAGGCCACCCTTGCTTGATCACTGCAACTGGGAGAAGTACTTAGAGAGTCCGGTCCCATTTACCATGTATGAGTGTGTGGTTTATGTTTGCCTTTTCACCTTGCTTCTTGCAGCAGAGCCAAGCCATCCCGCTCATCTCAGTGACAAGTGTAACATCTGGAGGCAGTTCGAGCAAAGCAGTAAAAAGACAAGTGTCTAATGTATCAGAGGAAGATCGTGGAGAAAAGTGTGAAAAAGCTGGGGAAGCACTGGAAATAGGTAATGTTTCTGAAAGTGTGTAGTAGCTGCCCTTTGTGGTGTTCTTTAATTAGAATCATAGAACAGTTTCGGTTGCAAGAGACCTTCAAGATCACCGAGTCCAACCTTTGTCCCAGCTCTACCAACACCACTAAACCATGTCCCTAAGTACAACATCTACCCGACTCTTAAGCACCTCCGGGGATGGTCACTCCACCCCCTCCCTGGGCAGGCTGTTCCAATGCCTGACAGCCCTTTCAGTAAAGAAATTCTTCCTAATCTCCAGCCTTAATTGTTGTGCTATTGATCAGAGGATTTTTATTTGATCAGTTAGGGATTGTCTTAAATCAGTTTCAGGTTTGAAGTTGTTGGATAGTCCTTGGCTTTAATATGAAATTATGGCTGTGTTGTTAATGATATCAAGGGGGGAGGGGGAATAAAAAAGTGGCTCCTAATGTTGACTTCATCGGAGGAGCTGTGAAAATTCTGCTCTAGATATTACCAGAAGAATTGCTGGGTATGTGTAGGCTTTTGGGTTGAAGTGTCAGGATGGAAGCTAAACCTAAGAAAATAGACTGAGTTGAATTTTGCCTCTGAACCTGAAAAATTTTTTGCGATTAAATCATTTAATTAAACCAGCAGGAAGCAGGTTTAAACAATGTTTAACATTGGTGTTTCAAAACTTTTAACACAGCCTTTAATAAATTTTAAAAGTGGGTAGTGAGAGGTTCTTGCTGTTGGTGAAATTCATTTTAGTTGGGAGAACCTTATGTTCACATTCGTGTAACTTTTTCTGAATTTCAGATACATCGAAGATTTCTGGTACAGAAAACTCTGAGCATGTTTTCAGAAGAAGCCTTTCTTCACCTCCCTATGCAGGGTCTGCAGAGCCCTCTAGTAAGTAGTGCTTGGCAAAACTGTGGGAAACACGTAATGAGTCTAATCGTATGGGGGAAGACACAGGCTCTCTGGAGCAGTGGGTTAGATAATCTTCCTTTTTATGTTTGGAAGCAGTACTACTGCAAGGTGATTATCTAAGTCATTTGTCAAAAATTTATTTTCTGAAGTAACAAATGGACTATTATCTAAGAGAGCACTCCCTTGCTGTCTTTATTAGTGATGTGGAACATACAGTAGTTTGGCTACTGAGAGACCTGCAAATGAAGAGCTTTATTAATTGATATAAATGAAACAAAGTGAGTTATGATGATACGCTATCATCTTCCCTGCAAAGATGACACATGATTCTTGCTTGGCTGATTGTCCCAAAGAGCACATTACATGGCTTTGTTCTTTTAGAGGAATGTTTTTTGAGTGGGTAATAAAGGTGATTTATGACTGAATGCTCTGATGAGGCATTTATGAGGCCAAGCTGTTTTGATGCTGCAGTATTTGTTTCGGTGAACTTCAGTCATCTCCGCTGTAGACATCTTTCTCTGAGCCAGCTGTTTAGGTTAGCTTTATGTTCAAGGTGGAGAAACGGGAACTTCTTGGGTGAATCACACAAGGAAGGCATCTGCCTTTCCTCGCCTGAGTACCAGACTAACCATCTTGAGGTGGTTGTAAGGTCATGCTCAGATACTGTGGTCACTGTGAAGATACTTTTAGTAGAGAAGCCGCATAAAGTTTAGTCAGTGGAATAAAGGTGCCCTGGGTCGATTAGAAGATACGTGTATTGCTTATGTTGGCTACTAAATGGCTTAGGAGATAAGAACGTGTGAGGGGTTAGAGAGTATGGAAGCAAGGAGAAAGGAGGGAGACGGGTGAGGGAGCCCTCAGCGTTGAGGGCTTTCCCCAGGTCAGGTTTCTAACACTTGTTGCTGAAGTCGAGTTGGTGGGATGCAGAGAAGAGAAGAACGGGTAGTTCACTTTCAGTGAGAGCTGATTCACTTCCTCTTCAGCTTCTGCTGGGCAAATGTACAAAGTCCCAGTTGCATTTTTTCATAACTTCCATGTTACTGTCCAGACAGATGGATGTGACAGAGAGGTAGGATTTTGGCCAGTGATAGGTAGATCATCTTTCCAGGGAGACAACTTAAGGGAAAATACTGAACTGGCCCTTGCAAGACTTGGCTTTATTTTCCTACGTGTTAGGTTGGTTTGCACTATGCAGTATAAAATGTGCCAGCAGACTTGATTCACTGGTGAATGAAGCAATGCTCACGTCGCCATTTTTCCCCCCAGGTCAATAAAGTAGTTCAGTGAGATCTGGCTGTGGAGCCCTGTAACACTTTTAAGGTAGAGTCCGTGTGTGTTCTTAGAAGCTTTTATGTGGAAGGATCCCTGCATACTTCACAGTGAACATGTCCATTTGTCCTTCCTTTCTCCTTTTGTATGTCGTAAGAGTTATGTCAGGGTACATAGAGCTTAGCAGAGAGAGAAAATTAATTTTTGCTGACAGAAGAAGCATATCTAATTGGGTAATTATGATTTACCTCAGTTAACGGAGCTGATTTCTGCTCACTGTACTGAGGTTACAGTGGCTGTTTAGCTTGCACGGAAAGTATCTTGATGTCTGTAATGAAAAGATCAAGATTGCTTCAGATTCTATTCCACTGCCTTACTGTGTGTTCAGACTCCGTGGCAATATTGATTATGTTTATTATTAATTCAGAGAAAAGAGAACGGTCTGTTATTAGAGTCATACAGGTGCTGTTATCTCAGCATCTCTTTGATCTGCTTGGCTCATTAAAATTAACAAAACCTGCTAAAAATGACTTTGAGGAAAACATTTTTGCCTCAGTTGCTCCTGGGATTGAGGTGTCGTTTGTTCTTCTGGTTTATGTATAGCTGTCTAACTCGAAACGTAGCAGTTGTGTAGATGAGGACCTATGAGCCTGCCAACTTAGGCTAATCTACTTTTTAAGTATACTAAACTTTTATGTGGAGAAAGATGTAGTTAAGTCATGTGGAGTGTCTGGTCTGGTGGACAGAAGAATTAGATGAATGCAATAAAACAACGGGATCTTTTGTGTGTCACAACTTCATCGGTTTTATTGTTCCTGGAAGTAAGCGTTCCCAACTGAATTTTTTAAGGTTAGATAGCAGATATCTGTTATTGGTTGGTTGGTTGGGGTTTTTTTGTCAAGAGTTAAGAGAAGCTGCTTTTCCTTCTTCAAAACTGAAGCCGTGACCCTGCAGCATGTGTACAGGAGCGCAGGACCCCCCATGTTAGGAGAAGGGAGTTCAGTGAGAGAGGACTTGGAAGGAAAGAGGCAGCTGAAATACTGCCAGGGACTGTGGCAGTTGCCATTGTTTTTACAGTGACTTCCATACCAGCAGTGTGTGGGATACCAGCGAGCATGTGTTCAGCAAACAGGATGGCATTCCGCTCTTGAGTTTCCCACTGCCTTCTGTTCTTTTGACTCAACGGCTCTGGTTGAAGCTTGTTCTGCTGTATCCTTCCTAGCTCCCGTTTGAGCAGCAAGACAGTTTAATTAATTGCTGTGTGGGAAGTTTGTATCTATGGCTGAGATGAAGACTTCTACTTTGAATAGAAGTCTAGTAGACATAAGCTTTCGCTCTTAGAATGCCTCCTCTTTTTCCTCTCTCTGATTTTTTTTAGTATGCAGAGCTATATAGAGGATGCTTTTCATGCCTACATGCCATTATCAGGTTATTTGTGTTTAACCCGAGAAGTGTGTGTGTTTAGATTTAAAACGCACTTGGTGCACTGGGGCTTGGTAATTATGCTGACACCGTGATTTGTGGGGCAGCGTAATTGACGGGTCGTCAAATCAGCCCACATGGAGTTCATGCTGCCATTTCTGCTATCCCACTATCCCAGCTTTTTGTGTTTATAACTAATTTAGGGTCTTTAATGTTGCAGTGTGTATGAAATGCAGTTAGTAGCGTCAACAGCGCCTTTTTTTTCCCTTGTTCTAGCTGGGGTGGAGGTAGGAGTCAAGCTCCTTCAGAAATAAAGTAATTGTATTTTTAAAATTAGGTTTATAGTCAGCTCTTCATGGGAAGGCAGTATTTTCGTATGAGCATACGTCACAAAGGTATAAATATAGGGCAGCTCTCTGCTTCCAAAAGCCAGCTTTCCAAAGATCAGAGCAATCCTGGGCTAACTCAAGTGTGTGCGTGTGTGTATGTGTGTGTGTGAGATATATTAGGCATAGAAATATGACAGCAATGATTATAGGTTTATTTGTTAAAGGAAATTGCAATCTCTGCATGATTCTTAAACTCATCTGTAAATCATCGGGCTGATACGTGGGTATCCTATTCAAGGTAATTAAATAGGAAGCATTTCCCAGTTACGTTTGTGTTATTGATTATCTCAGATAAGTTCCTGGAAGGTGGATGGGACAGCCAAAGAGCTAATGTTATTAAGGTGTATTGAAATTGGGAAGTAAGGAATAGAAGTTGTTAGTGATTTCAAATTCATGAATGAAATAAGTGAGACCTGTAAGGGAATTCTTTATGTATCTCTCAGCGTATGACGTGCGTTGAAAAGTTGGACAAGTTGCAGAAAAGATCTGAAACTATTTTAGGCGTTGGGGGGAATGCTTGCTATGGAGAGACTTTAAGAAGTTGCTGATCGTAATATTCTCCCTATGAAAGGTCTTGCAATGTATTGGGTACAAAAAAAGTTCTTTGGTTTGGTGGAGAAAAGGTTAATAAGAATTATTTCCTGAAAACAGTGAGGAAAATCTGGTTGGTGGATTTGCCTCCTCTTGATAATTTTCAGATGCAGATGACTCTGTTTTGTCTACCCCAAAATAATTAGTGTATGTACAAGAGTGGTTGTGGGTATTTTGAGACATATTGTAAACATGAGCTCAGATGGGAAGATTTAAGGTTCCCATCAGGTCTTGCAGGTCAAAAGGCACTAGGACATAAATAACAACGTGAGGGTGCCGCTTTGTTTCTTCATTTCTGAAGCTGAGGATAAAATAGAAACAAACAAAAGGGTGCTTGACTTTGTGTACTATCTGCTATTTCTGAGAAACTGTAGTAAAGGAGGTGCTTAAAAAGATTTTTATACTCCTTGTAGATAATTCCAGCGGCGCAAAGTCAGACATGGACATGGCGTATGAGAGAGCCAGGGTGCACTTTGGCTCGGAGGACACTGCCAGCAGTCCTGTTGTGGGCAAGGTAGGTCTCCTTTGGAGAGTCCAGCGTGTTTCTTGCGTTGTACTTCCTTACATTGTTATTCTTTGAGTAATTTAAATGTTTCCTCCCTTACTTCGAAACACTGCCCTTGCAATAGGAGTTGTGATATTTGGTCTTGTGTTGGTGTGTTTTAGCTTATAGTTGTTTCAGTAGCTTTTGGTGACTGTTCAGGCTTTCTGAGGCTCGGTGGCAATTCCCTTGGCAAGTAGTGGGAAAGCACTGCTGCAACTTCTTGATTTTAGGTATTGCCTCCCTCGGCTTCAGGCAAAAGATTATTTGGGAAGGTGAATTTGTCAGACCGTGCTTTATTTGTGAGAACTACTTTGCAGCAAGGAGTTAAAAACTTGTACCAGCCTGTGAATTTCCTGTAGGTTTTCAGTCATGATTTATAGATCTCTCTTTCTTTTTGTGGTCTGCTTTTTTACAAGTACTGACCTGGAAGTTAAGAGCACAAAACCACTCTTGAATTATAAAACTGCAAACCAAAATCTGAAGAGAAACTGTGGCTCAGTGTGATCTTGACAGACATTTTATCTTTTCCTACATCTTTGTGTACGATGTTGATCAAGTTTTAGCTCTCGCAGGCTGGCAGCTGCCCAGTTTCTGAAAAGTCTCTTGTTCTTCCCTTTCGCAAGCTGTGATGAGTAACTTTGTTCAAATTGAGCGTCAAGCTTTGTAGAAAAATATGCACGGATAATGAAGTTAGCAAGCTGTTGCTTTTTTGGAAACCTAGCTTTTTTTTGCAGGCCACCAGTTGTGGTGGATAGAGAGCACAGATGATGCAGCAAGTTTTTGCTGGGTAGGTGCCAATTAGAACGTTTAAACCGATATTTCTTGTGTCTTTGTTCTTTGCAGTCGATATTGAAGAAGACTGTGACGGTGACAGAAACTCCTTCGGCAGTTTTCCATTACAGTGCTGTGCAAGATTCCTGTAATAGCAAACATATTGATGCCATCGTCGAGGCTGCAAAGAAAGACCTTTCAACCTTGATGAAACTTGATGTAAGTTATTGCAGGAAGCAATGGCTTTGGTTTTGCTTTTCATCTAATTCTGTCAGGCACTAAAAGTAAATTGTCTCCCTAGTATGCTGTAGACTAGCTTCATGTTTTATTCTCTAGTCTGTGGAAGTTATTAGCAGGACTGAAATAAATCTGAATTATTCTGCCTTTTGAAAAGACCATATTGAAATGCACTGCGTGAATCTTTTCTCACTGTGTACAGATTTTATCCATGTGAGAAGTAAACGTGCAATTTCTGCCGCCTTGTAATTTCATGCTCTCACATACTGTGTGAAGAAGTTGTGTAAAGGCGGTCAGGTGATCGCTGAATCTATTAGTCCTGTTGGCAAAGCCCCCGAGTGCCGGGTTTGGGTTTTGGAATTGAGACTCTGTGTTTGGCCAGTGGCTCTGAGTGCGTTTCCCAGCTGAGTGACTGTGCCGTGCCTGTTCCAAGTTAAAAGCCTGGTGCCCTCGCAGTCATCGTTATGGAGCTCAGCCCCTGCTTCTCACCTTCGTGCAGTAAGAAGGAATAAAAATGTTTGTTTTCAGCGTTCCTACGATTCCAGCTACGTTTCATTAGAGGTGTGTCTGTTCATGCAGCTAATCAGACAATTTGGGAAAGCTGTACATCTGTCTGAAGCAGTCACAGGTACCCTGGTGCCATTACAGCACGTATTTCCGTAGCTCAAGCCTGTTGATGCTGCCAGAGGCCTGGGCGCAGCTGCCGCAGCCGCCTCCTCTGCTTTAAGAGCTCTCACCAACCAACACTTGGTAGAACTGAAAAGGTTTTACTTTTGGATTTGGACATTCCCTGCTGACTTCCAAATTACTCCCCTTGCAACTTCAAAATCTTGGTCATGATCTTTCAGCCACCGGTAGTGAGACTTGAGATGCACGTTGTACCTTGTTGCTGATGTGATGAAGGGCTGCAGTACTGCCTGTTAGTCTGCAGGAGATGTAACTGTCTTGTTACGTTAATTTTCAGGGTTTTTTCAGTCATTTATATCCTCAGACTATTTTAGAAGAAATTCTTGTTACAGGTGAAGTAAAAGTAGGATGAGGTACTTTCATCTCAGACACCGCATGTGACAAAAGTTTGTATCCCATACACAACCGATGTCTTCCTTTTTAGACCTATCAGATCACAAACAAAAATTCCAACGTCACTGAAGCTACCAATTACAGCACTTTTTTTTTTTTTTAAATCTAGAATAAATTTCTCAGTAATTAACAAGTAAACAGATAAGAGTTGAATTGGAACAATATCCTTAAAATGCAGCATCTAATAGGCAGTGTTTTTAAGATGAAGATCTAAATAAGAATGAAAGAAGGTAGGCTTTTCAAACTTAGGTATTACAGCAACTTAGTTTTTCACACGCAAACAGGAATCTGATGGAATTTAGACAAATGCTAGAAATCTCATTTTCTATGCGGGATAGAAAAAGTTGATTCTTCTACAGGCAGTGAAAGAAAAAATTGTATTGTGTTCAAAATATTTGTGTTTGACACTACTTACATAAAGGAAGAAAATGAACTCTGTAAGCTCTTCTCTTAAAAAGTTAGCTCAGATCTTTTATTTCTTAGCTGGCTGGAGGTGTTTTAAGTTGTCATTTTTCAGAGCAGCCGATCAGTGGGAATCAAATTAAGATGTTTTGAGGACAGATGGTGGTGTTTGGTTTTCGGTTGTTTGGGTTTTTCTCATGAGACTAAGAGACAGAGGATGGAATAGTTTACTGCAGGAGAGGCAGTATTATTTCAAATGAACCTTAGGTATCTGACTTCAGAATTAAGTTTTTATTTTTTCTTTTGACTTAACTTGGATTCCTTGGGTCTCTGTCATGAATGGTGTTCAACCTCATACAACTTTTATGTGGTTTTGGCTTTATTTGCAGTTACAGTATGAGAGTTCAATGTTGCAGGGCATACTTTCTGCGTAAGTATAGAAGGGAATTTCCTTTGACAAAAACATTATTTGTCTGTCCCGGTTAATTACTGCTTTTGTTTATTTTTATAGGTGGTTTGTGCTTTCACTTCTGCATTATAAACCTGCTGTTTTATTATCTGTTATAGTAACATAAAGAAAGAAACTTGCCATGAAATGGATTTTGTTGTGCTAGTGACTGCTTTTCCTAAGGGCTAGTGGCTGGAGGAGGCTGGAGGGGATCAGTGCAAGGTTATTTAGCTCAAACCCTGTAACTTTACGCAGCCCCGAATCGGGGTTTGCTGGTCTTGCCTGTTCAAGAGAGAAGATACTAGACAGGATGGATCTTGTCTGTTATCTTGTTTGTCAGCTCCTTTATTGCTTAATCAGGGCAGTAGTAGCACAGAAAAGCAGGATTTCAAGGACTGCTTGGAGGTCATTCAGGCTCTTTTCATGCCCAAAGCAGAATCAGATATTGCTAAGTCACTTCTGGCAGGTTTCTGACTAAGCTGTTCGTAAAGATCTCCAATGATGAGGACTTCACAGCTTTGTGTGCAATCTATTCTGATACTTAAGTAATCTTAGACATGAGAAAAACCTTTGCAATAGTTTTTGTCAGAGCTAATGCAGCCAGAAAAAGCCGTTGGTAAGTACAGCTCATTAGGGAGCTTGTATTCCTTTACTGTGAGACACTTTCATAGCTAAAACTTTAAGAATAGGTAATACTCTATAACCGTGAAGGTATAAATATAGGAAAAAAAAATCATAGAAATTAGTTGAGTTGATATTGCTGAACTGAAATATTTTGACAGGTGCTTGTCAGGTTCTTTGCATTGGCTATGTTCCCATGAAACAGATTGGTTTCAATAAAACTATTTTTTGATGAAAATCTGTTCTTTTTGTCAGCTGGAGGTGTAAAGAATAATTCTGATTATTTCACTTGCTGTAATTTTTTTCAACCAAAAATGAGAAGAGAAAAACCTGGCATAACAATTACAGTGGTAAAATGTTTGCATCTCTGCTATAGTGTTTTCCTGCTGCAATAAGGTTAATGACTCTGGGCAGAGTCTGCTTTGCTGCTTGCGCTGAATCGTGTCGTGCTGCACGTGCGGCTCTTGGTTTTGGTGGTTCTACCTCTGTGGCAAAGTACCGGGCACAGCAGGGCCTGGCTTTGCCTTGCTGAGGTTAAGCTGCCAGACGCCAGGACTGCGCTGATGCTCTTTAGTGTAACACAAGAATCACGTAATTGAGCCCAGGTTTGTGCCCTGCCCATTCGATGATGATAATAAAGTGTTGAGCTCCTGAAGATTTGCTGGTTTGGGTGAAAGTTTTGCTGAAGCAAAGGTGGCCTGAAGCGTTAGGGTTTGATACCGACTGCACGTGAGACACCAGATTGCATGGGCAGTTCTTTGAGATGGAAGGAAAATTCTCTCCATGCCTGCTGGCTGCCTGTGTTACATACTCAGGACTGTGGTGGTGACCAGCTTTGGAGCTTGAAAGGAATCTTCCAGTCAGCTGATGCACTTAACCAGATCAGCTCCTTGCCATTGCAAGGGCTTGGGGTGAGTCCTGTCTGAGGGCAGGCTTTGGGAAACACCCTCCCTCCCACGTGCTCTTCAGTCAGGAGGAGAAGTCCCACTCTCCTGTGCCATCCATGGGTGCGTGCACACAAGAATTCATTACTTTGGGGAAGCTTTTGGTCTACAGCGTGTATGAAAATGTGCTACACATGCACAGCCCAGCAGAGCTGTGTGACCAGGGAAGGGCTGTGCTAAAGCAAGTGTTAGATCATCTTGTCCAGTTCCTCCATGACGGAGGCAGTCTCCTCTAGTTTCACCTTCCTTTGGAAATGACTTCATATTTCCTGATTTTCATGCCAGCTGATACAGGTCTCTTTTCGTTGTAGACCGTTAAAAGAGTCTGGGGGCAAAGCTGACAAGTATAAAATCCTTGCGAATCCAAGTCTGATCGATTGAAACAAATGAAACTTTTTTTTTTCTTCTGGAAGAAATGTCGGTTGGGTAGAGGAATAGAAAAATCTTTGAAGAGATTCAAGTACTTAAAACATCATCTTTAGTAGTTATTATTCTTATTTGCTTTGTTTGGATGCTTCCTCATGTTCCTGGATCTTTACATGTGCACAGACAAGTAAATTGTACCCCCTGCCCCTTTCTTCTCCAGGATCCTTCATTGTTGAATGGCAAAGTGACGCTGCATCAGGTTACTGCTGGGACTGTGCTGTCGAGGCAAGGAGATCAGGTGAGTGAGTGTCACCTGAGAGTAGAGAGAACCTAAGTCTGGCTCAGTCTTTGCCCCCCACCGTAAGGTATTCATACACATTGATGATGAATAAAAAATCCCCAGCCGACCCCTCCCAACCCTTCTTTTCTCGAGGTGGAACAAGCCCAGCTCTTGGCCTTTCTGTGCACACGGAGCAGCAGTGGAGCCAGAGCCAGACTGGAAATGTGGTACTGGTCTGTTTTTAGCTCTTGTGTACCTTCACGAGGAGGTACGGAGTATCACACCTCCACCCTTCCTCCAAGCCCAGCTCTTGGCCTTTCTGTGCATACGGACTGGAAATGTGGTACTGGTCTGTTTTCAGCTCTTGTGTACCTTCACAACGAGGTACGGAGTATCACACCTCCACCCTTCCTGAGGAGGTGTGGAGGCCGTAGCCTTTTTTTCATGCCCCATGTTGTGGGCTTTCAGTGATGTCAGTCAGGTCTTATTGCAGTAAAGTATTTTTCCCCTCCATACAACAGAAATTCGCTTGTGTTGTTTATAGCAAAGTGTATTTAGGATATGACCAGATTCATTTATAATAATACTGTGTAAATAGACAAGCTTCTGCAAAGCTCCAGTTACAGTGCTGCTGCGTTCTGCTGTGCTGAACTGTGCTGTCCCTCATCGTGCTGCTGTGATTACCCCGTTAGCTGCATTTGCAATTCTGTTGTCATTTCTTGAGATCTTACAGATGCAGCCTTTATTTTTCATAACCGTACAAAGAGAAACACATTTTTCATTATTGTGGCTGCTTAGTTTTAAATATTCATAACCTGCTTTTAATAATTCACAGTTGTGTCTTATTTTATCACCTAATTGTTCAGAAACTATAGGGAGCTTTCTGGAAGACAGACCGCTCATGATAGTACTGTCACTGTGATAATTGCTTTTAAAATCTTTGGGGATTTTATTGAGCTCTTTTTCCATTTTCTCCAGGATGTTAATGTTTGCTTTGTGGTCTCGGGGATGCTCCATGTGTACCAACGGAAGATAGACTCGGAGGAGGACACCTGTCTGTTCATCACCCATCCAGGAGAACTCGTGGGTCAGCTCGCTGTCCTGACTGGGGAACCGCTGATTTTCACCATCAAGGCCAATCGAGACTGCAGCTTCCTCTCTATTTCCAAGTCCCATTTCTATGAGTGAGTTCTGCCATGGAAACATATTGATTTTTTTATTATTATTTTTTTTTAAATTTTTTTATGGCCCTTTTGAACAAATGTGAGTGGTGGATGTATGCGTGGTGTAGTACTGCTACGATACATCCGACGGCAAACCACATGGCTTACATGAGGGTTTTAAGTGCCTGGGTGAGCTCTGACCCATTTGTCTCATGGCATTGTCTCCAGCAAGAGGTAATGCAGGGAACATGGTAATATCAAATGGTGATGTCTCCTTTGTTCCAGGATTATAGAACACTTAACCCAATGGGATGTGATTTATGACCCAAGACTCATATACTTCATAATCCAAATAAGAAAGTCTGGCCAGAGCCTGTGCTTTGCTGGGTTAAGTGCTTCTTTGCCAGGCCCTTTCTCTTAGACTTGTTATTCCTTTTTGCTGCAGAACGACCCCAGTTCTGTTTCCAAATACAGCCCAGGCTGTTGGGTGTGCTATGAATGATTGGTCTTGGCGTAACTGTAGGTTTTCAGTGCTCACTAATAGAATAGGTCAAACAGTCATGCTCCTGTGCAAGACTGGTTCCTTTCTGGACCTTGGAAGTAGTACGTGGCTTGTGACTTAATGCTTAAGGGGGATATATAGGTATTTCTTAATTAAAAACCCTGCATGATGACTGTGGTTAGCCTTGTTATTCACCAGTAATGATTAATGCCCTTGATTTATTCCATGATCCTATTGGTAAGACTTAGTACTAGTTCACACACATAATTTGGGTCAAATACCTCTATTCCCTGTTCTAAACTCTTTTTTCAATTTCTGCTTGAATGTGCCATCAGTCCTGTGTTCTGCGTAGGTCTTTGAGGTTGTGTTTTCTACACCACTATTATGTTGTATATTTCTGCATACTTACTTGCTAAATAATTCTAATTGTTTGTTTTCCTAATCAGCTCTACCACAGAAACTTACTGTGTGATTTTTGTTTTTTCACCTCGGGCAAAAGGCTGTGTGCTGTAAAACCAAACAGGCTGTTCTCAGCAGTGTGCTTGGTTGATGAGCTGTGTTTTTCCAAGTCTGTGCAGTGGATGTCAACTCCTTGATCTAATTTCTGATAGATGCTTCCCACTTGTGCCATTCCTTGCAGTATCAGATCTATTTCTTCTAAGCTTCTGCTTTTTTCTTCTGTCTTCTTCTACTGTTGTTTTCCTACTTGTTTCTGACTTCAAATTTCGTTATGTTGTCTCAGCCAACCAGTCAGATTCCACCTTTTCCTCCTTTCTTTTTTTTGTTTTGTTACTCAGTCCTGGATTAACTCTCTCATTTGCTTGAGCTCATTTTCCTGAGTTTTCTCTTCTCTCTTAAGAATCAAGTTGTCTCATGTTTATTCCAACTTACCTTTTTGCTTCCATTAACCCCTTCCCAGTCAGTGATCTCGAGCCCGTCAGTGTATCGCCTCTTCATTATTTTTGGGACCTTTCCAAATCTTTTTCTCCTTTAAATAGTCTGTTGTCAGTTCTCTCCATTTTACGAGCTCTGTGATCTTCCAGCTTTCCATCTTCACAATTTCTCTTGAAACCCAAGCTTTATATCACTTCTGGCTCCTGTTCCCCTGTATTTAGAATTGTCATTGTAGAAAGTCTTTGGAAAGCATGAGGTTTGTTCAAGTTTGTTCATTTTTGCGTTGAACTGGATGAGAAAGATAAACTTGTTGATAAAATGAGAAGTAAGTTTTATTTTCCACCTTTTGTGCCAGATTCTTTGCTCATAGTGCTTCAATGTTAGGCTTTCTCCTTCACTCTAAATCTCACAGGAATGTGTTTTGGTTTTCAGTTTTCATTGTGGGGTTTTTTGGTTTGGTGGTTTGTTGGGTTTGTTGGTTTTTTTTGTGTCTCCTATCTTACTGACCAGAAAAAATTTGACAAGAACCTCCATTATTCTCCAAAATTCCTTTCTTCCTTGCTTGTCAAATATATGACTCTTTTTCTTTGAGCTGCCCCGGAATGTTGTATGTGGTTTTTTTCTCAACAGTTAATGGGAGGGCGTAGCAGAAAGAACACGGTCTGTAGCTGCCAACAGACAAAGAGCTCAGTAATGGAAGTAGCCCAGGGTTTAGAATTGCATGTTGGATATTGGACAACAGATTAAATCCTTTTCAGTGAAACTTTGGGGCAGGAGCCTTTTATGTGGTACTAACATGGCTAAATAACTATCTGTAAATGCAGAGTTTAAGTGTGGGGGTGACACAGGCTAATTATACAATATATACCTTAAATACTGTGCTATTTTGCCGAGCTGATGTACTAAGTGTGCAGTGCCTACGCCGCAACTGTTGGTGTCTCCTGACGAACAGTATAATCAAGCTGTCACCAGGCTCTCTTGAGGGAATATGTTCAGGTTCTGCAGTGCTAGGGACTCTCACATTTTCTGCTTCAGTAAATTTCACAGTTTGGAGCCTTAATCATGTGCGCTTGCCAAGAAGCAGGAGTGCTTTGATTTTTATTTGGTGTTGCCAGCCAAGCTGAATATCAAATCGCATCCACATCCACAAGAATATCTGCATAAGTCCCAGGCTTTCACAGACACTAGTTTAGTCCTTTCATGGCTATATTTGGTGAGCTTTCTAATAAAGAATACTCAGGATCCCTTCAGAAACAGGTTTCCATAGTACAGAGCTTTGGTTTTTAGTTTTCCCAGTGCCAGGCATGTGCCAAGCAGAAGAGCAAAGATGAAAATGCCCAAGTGAGAGGAAGGAAACCTGGCTGATAATGGGGAAAAAAAATCTGCCTTCCTCTTCTTGTGGATAAGGGTGGCTTTTACCTTCTATGCTAATACTCTTGTAGAAGCTATTATAGCACTGAGTGAAATAAGAGAGCTCCAGCTGGAAATAAAATCAGCCTGTTAGTAGTTTACATTTTGCATGCACCGAGTATTAAGATACATATCTTGAGGGAGGAAAGGGAGTAAATGGCTCTTATTGATCAGAGCAGGCAGCCTGTGTGGGAGGACACTTTGAGGCCTAAATAAGCAAGTAGAGTAAAAACAATGAGCTGAACCATTCATGAGTTTTCAGTGGGTTTATTTAACTTTTAGGTCAGCTGAGAAGGGGGATAGGGCTGGGTGGTTTATGTGTGTTGAGGGATTAGGGTTGTCTGGTTATTAGTGCTTATCCTGGGGTGCCTCTTCCAGCCTTTTGTCCTTTGCTCCAAGTTACATAGTGTGGTAAAGTTTCCATAAGATAACGTGTTGTTTTCACGTGCAACAATAGCTTATCGAAACCAAGGTACTCGGTAGGTGTCTTGGGTGGGCGATGGGGGGGGGCATGGAAACCTCAGGGCAAGAGAAGAGAGGCAGGAGAGGAACGCTCTCCTACTTTTTCGTAATCCTGTTTTGATGGCTGGGTTTTAAACCGTGCTAAATGTAAGGGTCGGTGCTCAGTTTCATTTACCTAGTGGCACCTATGAGTGCGGGGGGCGAGCGTGATGAGCTCAGCGTGGAATAGGGTGATGCACATACGAATCTCTTCCATTTCAATTTCAGAGATCTTGGCTGAAGAAATTACAAGCTTCATTATTGCAAAAAGTAGTAATTGGAGGCATTGGGTAAGGAGGGTAGATGAATATGAAAGCTCCCTGCAGTGCCCTGTGTGCTGCACTTGACCCATAGTCACCGTCACCTCTGGCTCTCTAGCTGCAGCTATAGCACTAATGAATGAGAGAGCTGATGTTTTAGAAACTTCAGGACAGTTTCTGCGCTACATCCAGACAGTAGAGAGCTCCTGGTGAATCTGCTTTTGCTATCACACTCTAGGATTACAGATCTCTACTCGGGCTTTCTCTGGTTCCTGCCTGGTTACAGTGGTCCACGGTCCCTAACTAAAGACTGTCAGTGCTCCTTCCATGCCTTTTCTCCCCTCTGCTCTAATTTTTAGGGTGCAAGGTTAGATATGAAGCTCACATGATTTGTGCTTGCTGAGAGTTTCCACACACGCAAGGTCTCCTAAGCAGACTTTCTGCTGGCAGTCTGGTATCTTCATTGTAAATGGAACATTGATACAGAAAACATACCAAGTATTTATCATTTTCTCTTTGTTTCTGTCCATGGGCGGCTTTAACGTAGCTCCTTCATCTCTGTGTGCACTTCACGTACCAGGCCTGCATACACTTACCTACTTCTTTGTGAATTGTGCTGTCTCTTGGGAAATAACTATTTTTTAGTAGTCTGCCATCAATTGCTCTTGATGTTACGCAGGAACAGAAAAGATAAGATGTCCTAACAAGTCCACCATCCAGAGATGCACTCCTGTGGAGTAGTGCTTCACTAAGAATTTGAGTGCTTACTCACAAAGTGACAGGATACAGTGATCTTCAGTCTAAAAAGAAAGAGAAATAAGGCATTCATGAGCAGTTGTGAGATGTCTGTGAGAGCAATTTCCCTCGGGCCTTGCCATCAGTGTTGAGTTTGCAGTTATCCCTGGCGGAACATTCTCCAAGTTTTTCAGTTTGAGACAAGTATTGAATTACATGGTACCGTTATTACTAGAGACTTTTAAGCACCATTCAAAAGATTCAGTGTGAAGATCAGAAGCTTTATTAGAAGATGTTTCAGTTCTTTGTGGTCTTTGCAACAGGGAAAAGGGAACATTTGAAATACAGTGCAGGTCTTTTTAAGAGCATCAGACTTTACATATAATAAGGTTCTGCCCTGATATAAAATCTAAGGGAAACTGTGAGCACGTGCACATGAGAGAGGTGCAGAACAGCAGGAAGGGGTAAGCTTCTGGACAGTGTGAACACTTCCCCGAGTCATAAGAGACCTGGGTGAAGGGGAGGCTGGGAGGGTGGCTCGTAGACAAGAGCTACCTGACTCCCGTCTGTCCCACTGCTCGCTTAAAGAAGGGAATTGGGCCAGACAGAGGGACTAGCTAGTGTCCTGCTAGCATAGCCCTGCTGCTGCTGGGGCGGCGCCGACTTGGAGTGACCTTTGATTTGGGCTGGGCTGGACGGCTGGCCAGACCCTTGCTTTGTCAAACTATCACTGAGGTGGCGTGTTTGTGGCGATAGTGGAGCATGTACATGGGGATGTGCTACCTTTGGAACTGGTGCCTGTGTCACTGCCCAGTTGCATTGGGAATGGCTGCCTCGGGATGTTGTGGCTGTGTGTACCTATTCCTGTTTTGGGGAAGTACTTGAATAACACTTTTTTTCTTTTTTTTCCTCTAGGATAATGCGGGAGCAGCCAAGCGTAGTTCTCGGTGTGGCCCACACAGTTGTGAAGAGAATGTCCCCGTTTGTTAGGCAAATTGACTTTGCGCTGGATTGGATGGAGGTTGAGGCTGGACGAGCTGTTTACAGGTGAGATGTGGAAAAAATGTGTTAAATATTTCAGTTGTCATTGTTAAGCTGTGCTCCCTTGGTGGTATATAGAATAAGAAACTCATTGGACTGAATTTATCAACCGTTCCATCAGGTTTCTCTCTTTGCCTGTTTTGAGGTTATTTTCTTTCTGCAGTACCCTTCAACATTGCTTCAGTCTCTTCTCTCCAGGTGCTATTAAAATTCTTTCATATTATTCCTCGTCCTTTATGTTGTCTCAGCAAGCTTTTAAAGTGACATAATGGATTAAGACATAGACAGTTGTATGTTCTGGTGGTAGTTTCTGCATTGTTAAGGGCATGAACATCTGTTGCTCAAAGAGTTTTTCAGGCTTTCTAAAATAAACGATAAAACTCAAAGGTAATTCAGTTAGGCTTATTCAATACTAAATTGATAATAAACACTGCACTTTATGTTTGAGGGGCAAAAGTTATCCTTGGGAAAACTTAGTTTTATGGATTTTTGTACTAGGATGCATTTGAATCATTATATGGTTGCTGCAGTGGTGGGAGAATAAAGGTCTAATTTAGTATGTGTTCTGTATAATTGTAATTCTAATTTTTGTAGCTATACCTGCGGCACCAATGCTAATGGAAGTTTTGAATTACTTTGTGCATCAAAGCAGTTATAGCTGTCAATATCTTCTTAAAATTTTTTTTAATTCCTTGCATTAGTTTTAGCTCCCCTGCCAGAAGTATGGCGGGTCATGTGCTGGGTGATGGAAATCTGCATGCCAGGCAGCATGCTTCATCCTGCAAACTGGAGACGGCAAAAACTTCCTGGCAGACTAAGATGTGTGCACCAAAAGGAATCCAAAGCCTGAGCCACTTGGGGGGTTTTCTCTTTGACCTGCAGACTTTCTCTATGCATCCATATTGACCTCGCAGCGACAACAGGCTCCTGCTGTAACCAGTAACGAGCCTGTTGGCTCCCCTAGAGACCACTTGCATCCTGGTCATCTGCTTCCAGCCCTACCATTAACCAGTTGTGCAAAGCATGCACATTTAAATGTTAAACATATCTCCAAGTCCCCTTTTAACAGCTGCCTGCTCAGTTCCTTGTTTGCTTGTTATGTTTAACTGGTGCTTAAACATTTCCCTCTGTCCTCTAAGCCAGGCAGGGAAAAGTGATCAACTTATTAAAAGACATTAGATGCATTTGCTGAGCAAAGATGCTTCACTAATCCTTGTTATTGATTATGCTTTCTGCAGGCAGGGCGACAAGTCCGACTGCACGTACATCGTGTTGAATGGTCGACTTCGCTCCGTCATACGGATGGATGATGGGAAAAAGCACCTGACTGGTGAATACGGCCGAGGAGACTTGATTGGGGTGGTAAGAGCCAGTTTCAAAAATTAATTGTTCGGCTGAGAAATTGGTATTGGCTCCACTAAACAAACAAAATCTCGCTCTGATCAGTTGTTAACCTTAGTTAAGGGCTTTCACAAGTTGAAAAGATGGAAAACCTCTTCTACCCGGACACTTTGCATAATAATACATGAATGGGATTATTGGACTTGGTTTTTAAAAAGGAAGAGAAACAAAAAAAGTCACAACCAAACCAAAAAGCCCTGTGCAATGTGCTTTTGTGACACGGGTTACTTTCGTTCACATTGAGAGGAGTGCAGCCTGTTGGAATAGTTCAGGGAGAATTGCAGGAATGTGCATTAAATGGTGATTTAAATCAATTTAGTGTCATAGGATTCCATTTGGCTGGGGCTCCCTGGAAGTGTCTCGTCCAGCCTCCTCTGAGTTAGCAGAGCTAACTTCAAAGCTGCATCAGCCTGTTCAGGGAACGTGTAGTAATTGAAAGTTATTAAAGCAACTTTTGATTTCAAAATTGTAGTATTTATCCACATTTAATTGCTATGTTCTTTTTTTGTTTCTCAGACCTAGTTAACAACTGAAATAGGAATCCTACATCATAAATGTGCATGGCTTCTTTGATTTTCATATTTAAAATTGGAAGATTTCTGAAGTTCTGAGATTATTGTTCAGGCCCTCTTCTGCTTTCTGAGCTGAAAACTAAACATTTAATGTGTAGCTGTTTATAGCTAGAATTAGTGTACCTCTGAATAAAGAAAACACAAGAGTTGGTGTTAGTACTATGGGAAGAAATTCTTATTTATAGAGATTGAGAGGAAGGAGGAGCACAAGGCTGTTAGCTCTAGAGAGCTGATTCAGGATTGTGCTGATTGCAAAAGGTGGTGTTTTTGGAAGTGGCATGGTCCAGCAGTTGAGTGTCCAGTTGTATGAGGTTCTCCTCTGCTGCACTGCCTCTTTCCACTGTGCCTGTGATGGAGGGCTCTGTAGCTGGGGCAGGAAAGCAGCGTCGGCGTATGAGGCCGGGGTGTCTGATGGCGAGTGGGCCACAGACCGGTGTCCGTGTTGTAAAGTGCCCATGGCAGAGCTCTCATGGGCGATGAGAGACTGGGGACTGACCTAACATCCGAGTTGTTTTTCTTGAGAGAAGTGAAAAGTTCTCATGTGAGGAGGGTGAAGTTTTTGGACCTTTTCAGTGTATGATCACAGCTCATTTTCACTTGCCTAGTAACTTTAAAATGTGTGTCATTTGGAAGTGACTGCAATAGAGTACAAGAGGCAATTCTGGTGATACTCCCAGCAGGAGACAAAGATGGTCTGGACTGGAGACTGCACTGTATTCTCGGAGTTGTATGTGGACAGTATTTAAGGATATCTTCCCAAGATCAGTGCTGCTGATCAGCTTCTGGCTGAGGAGTTGTATTGGCTTGGGACTGTATTTGGAGAAGCAGGTCTGTTCCTGAGAGTGCTGGGCACACTCACAAATTTTATATCTCTGTGTTTTCTTTTTTGGGCTACCTCTTTGGGCTACCTCATTAAAGGTAAAATGACGTGGTTTGACAGGAACAAAAGCAGAGATCTTTTGTGACTAATCTTGCCAGTATGAGGCCTTTTAGTGTGTGATTAAGGGTTTGTCAGTTTTGACATGTACAAGCGTTTTCCTGCTCCTTTCACTGCTTTCTTTCACCAGTGGTGATCTGCAGCTTCACTCTGAAGCTTCTGGAGTTTTGCAGAGCTCCCAGGTTAAAACAGCAGAGCTGCTGTTTTACTTTCTGAAAACAGTTTTGAGTGACAGTGCAGCCTATGGTCTAAACCCTACCTCCCTGTACGAGCACTAGTGCCTGCTTTGGCATGACGTTTCGTGCTGACTCAACTGTTTATCTGGTGAGGAGAGAGAGGGAGGTTGATTCGGTGGATGGACGGGGACGTGTTTGCTGTAACAGTGCCGTGTCTGCTGGTGAGTCCCTGGGCATGGATACGGAAATACCCGTATAGTTTATGTCTAAACCATAAGTCACTTTTCTGGATCCATGTTATGACATGAATCATTTTGAAGACTTTTGTGACTCCATGGACGTCATCTACCCACAGCTCCCAGGCCCACTGACTCATGCTGCCATTTGTTGAACAAATCTCCATGCTCTGGCTGTCTTTTCAAAACATGGGGGAGGATTTCTAAAGATTGCCAAGATTAATGTAGCCGTTCTTTGCAGAGGGCATTAGTAAAATGACATTTTTCCTTTTAAAAAGATTTGTTTATCCCCTTCTGCAGGATCTGTTATAAGCCTTTAAAAGCCTGCTGTAGGGTTGGGTTTTTTTCCCTGAAAGTGAAGTAATTGGAGAGTTCTAGGTGCTTGCAGGTAATGAAATTAGCAGTTGGTATTGGTAATTGGTATTTTAGTCAACTGGGGGTGTGTTCCTCCCTGAAACCCCTCCAAGACCCCCCGTGTCATTCAGAGCTGTGGCCACTAACAAAATACAAGAGTCTTATAGTTGATGTATTTTTGTTTATTGCCTTTATTTCAGAACTTTAAAAATGCTGTGTGTCACATGCATAAGAGATGAGTATCTGCCATTTCTACTTTCAGAAGAAAAGCACTGAAAAATGAAGGATTTCAGACAAGATGTTAATTTTCAAGCATGTGCGTGTGCTTCCAAGGCTAAACTTGTGGCTCAAACTGTTTTGTTCCTTATAATGACTCAATGGCATCTGTTTCTGAGGCCTGTCAATTCAGGGGGAGAAGAACAAATTAGAAACTAAAGTTTGCCTGCCTTGTGTAGTTACTTGAAGAGCAGACGAGGATGGTTGTGTCAGGGGAAAGTGATCCCTGATCCCCGAGAGCCTTTTTGGAGGGACGCTGCCAGCTGCTTGCTGCTGCCGGCCCTGTCGATGGGCAACTGCAGTTGCTGTATCTGGTCAAATCAAGTCAAAACTTGAGTGAAGGCCTTCCAGGTAGTTTTTAAAGAACAATGATGACTGTTAGGTAATTCCCTTGCATTTGAAAGAGATTTGACAAAAGTCCTGTTGTCTAGAGACTGTTATTTGACCCATTTTGAGGAGAATCTTAATTTGTTGGTGCCATTGCTACAGATGCAGTTGTGGAAAACTGTTGAAACGTTGATTTTATTAAACTGTTGTGTGAGCTAAAGGGTAACTCCTTCTAGTGTCACTTCTGCCATGCCGAGGTGACCCCGGAGGACATCAGAAAAGCCCACTGTGTGTTCATAGAGTGAAGGGGCTTCTTTTCACTAAATTATTTACTTAAAATGCTTATATTCGTCTCTTATTTTTTTTCATGATGTTGCTGCTTTAGTTCTGATCTTGGTCAACTGCTGCAAATCGTAGTTTTTACTCTTGTTATCTTAATCTCATTAACGCATTGTTGTCTGAGAAAAAGGATTCCTTTTAATTTGTTATCCCTATCGCTACCAGGCAGACTGGCCCAGGCTTTGACAGTTAGTGTGGTCCCTAACACCGCTGATGAGACTGGGGCAGTTATTCAGTGGTTTTTTTACAACCAGCAAAATAGGTTGTCCCAGATGGGTTGCAAGATCACAACTCCAGGCATCTGTTGGGATGGGTGTTCTTTGCTTTTTGCATTTTTGGGGGGACGCTAGTGGGTGAGGAGAATGGAAAAATACCCGACAGACCTGTCTTGCAGAGTAAAAGTTACTTGTATACTGCCTGCGCCCTTCAAATGTCTGGATGTGATGGAATCTTCTATGCAATTAGCTTTTTATGCAAGTCAACGCTTTGTCTTAATTGGGTCCCTGAAGAATGACTGCAGTGTTGGTAAGATGACTAAATGCCAGGCAGTTCTTGGGGGCCCCAGTGACAGCTGTTGAACTTACAATATTTTTAAAGCTGGGCTCTTGGGTAGTTGATAGCGAGACTGACTGGTAGCCACCTGCCTCACAAAGTTGTTCACTGTGGTGTCTCGCCAGCAAACCAGTCAGCTTTCAAAAATGCCCTGCTGAGTGAGAAAGTTGCAGCAATGTTTTGGTCAATTCAAGATCCTTTCTGTTTCTCTTTAACAACCAGAATGCCCCTTCTTATTGGTAGGGCTATACCCAGTCCTTTTTCGGTAGCAAAATAGCAAAACAAGTGCAGGAAGGTATTTGTGCCCTAACACTTTCTTTTAAGGCAGGGCAGCATGAGTGATAAATTGCAGAAAAAGAATCTTCATCTGCCAGTGCTGCAGCACAGCAGTTCTGCTGTAGAAGAAATCATGCTCTACATTCTAGAAATAATAGATATGTTAAATGTTTTTAGATGTTAAGCTGTTCATCTAATTAATACAGTTAAATGTGCATGGCTTTTTTTCCCTCTAAAAAGTTGAAAACCAAGAAGAATCTGTAAATGGCTTATGATTTCCTTAGGGGTTTGGAGCATTGTCCTTTTGAAATGTAACACTAACTGTTAGAAATGTGTAATTGCTGAGTAATCCTCAAAGGAAACACACCAGTATCAGGATTACACTTGTCAGGCTTTTGTTCTTTATCAGTATTGATGTTATCATATGCCTCTGTCTTTCGACGGTACAACGCCAGCTGAGTATCACTGTACCCTTGACAACCGTGCTAACACTGGGCAAGTTCTGCTCTGTTAAGGCTGGTTTACTTTGTCATTTTTAAGCGTGTGGATGTTTTTTGCTGATTACTTGCATGTAATTTTTTCAAACCATGACTACTTCATTTGCTAAAGCTTTAAGTTACTAAAAAAATACTTCAGGTTAATTCAGGTTAGTGGCGCCTCAGGCATTCTCTATGCACAGCCTGTATCTGTGGAAATTGGAGGCGGATGAGGTCCAAGAACTGAGCTGGAAGACATGGTTCTGGAAGGAGGTGTTCTCTTTCCATCTCTTCCACCTTCTGTCTGATAATACATTACTAAAAATTATTATTTGCCTTGCAGCATCTTAGGTGTGAAATTGTATTTAAAAAAACCAAACTAAAACAACAAAAAAACCCCAAACCAACCAACCAAAAAACCCAAACAAACCAACCAAGCTACAACACAAACTGCACAACAGCAA